TATTGTAAGAACAGAACGTCGATTTAACAGAAACACCTGGTTTCAACAGGATGGGGCCACTGCCCATACTTCCAGAGAATCGATGGACACGGTGAAAGCACTTTTTTCTCAAAAAGTTATACCGTAGTTTTGAGACATTCACTGGCCCCCTAGGTCACCCGACCTCACGCCATGCGATTATTTCTTCTGAGGTTGTCTAAAGTCAAAAGTGTAAGTATTCCGATAATCCATGAACACTGGAGAAGCTCAAAGACAACATTCGACGAAAAATAAACAACATCACTCTGGACCTCTGCAAGAGAGTATTTCAGAATTTGCGCCCGCGATTAGGAGAGTGTGTCCGAAGTTATGGCATACATTTGGACGGAATGATATTTAAGAAAAAAAACCCTCCGAATTTACGAATACTATATATTGATAGTAAAAATATTTTCTTTAAATTAATTTTTTTTTCTTAAATCAAAAAGTGAACTTTCCCTTATTACAAGGTCAGAACTTATCGATCTTGTAACAACCTTATAATCCCATCATTTTAAAAAATTCATCAGATAATTCAAATTCAATTAAAAATGGTGCAGTATACAGGGTGTTTCAAATTCGACCATCACCATTGAGATCTTGGAAACTGTAAGAGATACGAAGTCGCTTAAATGGGGGCAGAGTTGCGTATTTCGGTAAGCATCCAAATGCCGCTTACGAGGTTTCAAAATTCGAAGTACCTCCAGAGAGAGAAAGGAAAACTAATTTTCCCAAAATCGTTTAATTTTTCCCTGACTTTATTTGTAGTGAGAATTCAAAATAAATTGCACACTAACATTGCCACTATTTCTCCTCTACAAGATGGCGTAATTACGAGGGCCGTTTGATAAGTCGGTAACTTTTTGAATTTCCCGCGCAGTTACTTTGAATGCAACACTGCTGCAGTCAACTGCCATCTTTTATATGACAAATTTGAACAAGCTATGTCATTTCACTTGAATTCGACAGCCGTTGACAGTAGACAGTCTCATAAATTCTAACAAAAATGGAGAAGAGTGAATTTCGTGTTCTAATTAAACATTATTTTTTGGGGACTCTGCACCATCTATTTCAATGGTGAAGAAGTGGTTTACTGAGCTCCGTTGTGGTCGAACCAGCACAAGTGATGCCGAACGTTCAGGCCGCCCAAAAGAGGTCATCACACCAGAAATCGTGGATAAGATCCATGGGATGGTATTCGAAGATCGGAGAATAAAAATACGTGAAGTAGCTGAGGCTGTATGCATCTCTACTGAGCGGGTACATTACATTTTACATGAATACTTGGACATGGAAAAAACTATCCGCGAGATGGGTGCCGCGATTGCTCACAGTCGACCTCGACCATAAGCGCAACCGTGTAACCATTTCAAGGGAATGTTTGGCGATGTTCAGCCGCAATCCGAACGAATTTTTGCGCCGTTTTGTAACTGTAGACGAAACATGGATTCATCACAATACACCAGAAATCATACAACAATCAATTCAGTGGGTTTCACGTGGTGAGCGTGCTCCAAAGGAGGCCAAGGTGCGTCTATCAACCAGCAAGGTTATGGCCACAGTTTTCTGGGACGCATGCGGTATCATTTACATCGATTACATTGAGAGGGACGAACGATCACGGGAGAGTGCTAGTCAGAGCTGTTAGATAGATTCAAAGTTGCTTTGAAGCAAAAACGACCTCATTTGGCGAAGAAAAATATTGCTGTTCCATCAAGACAACGCACGGGTACACACGTGTGTAGTCTCGATGGCAAATATTCATGAACTGGGCCACCAACTGCTGCCCTATCCAGCCTACTCACTTCCTATTTCCAAACCTGAAAAAATGGCTGGGTGGTAGGAAATTTGGATCGAACGAAGAGGTCATCATTGAAACAAACGCTTATTTTGGGAGCCTTAATAAAAACTACTATTCGGAAGGAATTCAGAAATTGGAAAAACGCTGGACTAAATGTATCCAGCTAAAAGGAGATTATGTTGAGAAATAAAATGCCTTTATGCCGAAAAACATTTTTTTTATTTTATAAGTCACTGACTTATGAAACAGCCCTCGTATAATTTCAATGTGACGTTTCGCCCCTTGTCCTCCAGGATCAACTTAATGTTTTCTTAAGGACGCCGTATTGGATTTTTGCCCAGATGAATAGAGTTTTTGCTTCTAATTCTAAAAATGAATATATCATACATTGACATTGCCAAACCTTAGTTATTCCCGAAAAACAGAAGTTCCTAGGTAGGCCTTGAAATGATCAGATTTCATTGTTCCGTATACCAGACCTCAAATTGAACATATCAACAGTGTTTGAAAGACTGAGAAGAAGAGAAATCAATCGATCAGTGAACAATATACCTGCAAAATAACGGACAACATTTTGAACAACTGCTATGATTATTTATGTGTATTTGTGAGGGTAGAATTTGGAATACCCTGTATAATTATGGAAGAGGGTTTCACGTAGCGTAGTCAAGGAGACGCGTTTAAGGGCTTTAATCCCCTCAACCCTCTGAATTATTCACTGAAACCCTGCACTGCGTTTAACTGTTGACCCTGTAACATAGTTATAGCAATGCCTATTGACTTCTCCGCTTTTGAACACACACGAGGAAACTTTCTAGCTATGCCTTTGGTGGTACGTAACTTATTACTGTCTGGTATCAGTTACTTCATGAAGCTTTTGCACTGTAAGTGCATGTCTCGTGTAACTAATTTACCGACCTGAAAGTTGATACTAGTTGATATATTTCGAACATAAATGGACTCAACTTTGGTGCACTTCATTGATTGATTTCCTATAACTTTCATATACGGTTACGTAACTTTTGTTGGGTAGAATGCGTATGTGGCATTTATAATGAAGAGTGCTGGGCAGGGCCGTCTTAGGATTTTTAGGACCGATTTTCGAGAAAAGTAAGATATTTTTGATTTCAGTTCCGAAAAAAATTCTTAAGCAAATTGTAGGAATAAACCATCCATGCATTATTTGGAACTATTAAAATTTAGGCACAACATGATTGGAAAGTAACAAAAACTCCCCTGGCGTACCCCATTCCCGACTTTCACAACAAAATCAACAGATCTCTGTATACAGGGTGATTGGAAATTCGACCTATTCCCTGAAAGTGGTGATTCTAGAAGTTATTTGTGATAAATTAATTCCCATCAACTGGGGGTCGGCATTTCAAGATTTTTTATGAATTTTCTGCTTGCTGATCAATACAATTTTCTTTTCAAAAATCTACTCATTTCTTGGAACTGAATTGATGGTTTTCTGAAAGCTGTGAAACTATCAAACAATTGAGATAAAAACGCTATACCAAAGGTTTGAAACTGTTAGAAATAAAAGGCTGTTAGTGAATAGATTTTGATTTTTGTTTATTACTTCCGAAAATCATTATAAGTTATTTGAACTAAAATGTAAGATATTCGGCATACAGATTACTAAAATAATTGCAGAATTTCATGAGCTTTCCGAAACCACACAAATCTTATTAACTGTTTCAAGCATTTGAAAAAAAAACAAAAACCATCGAATAGAGGTAATAGATTTCGTAAATCCAATTTTCACAAAACAGCTTTCTCGGAATAAAATGCATCGTATTTCTATGCGTCAAACTGACTCGTTTAACTCCGTAGGTATTCGGGTGTGCCCATCCAATGAGGTTCGTGATGCGTCATGACCGACAGTTTGTTTATCCCTTAGTACCAACGATTTTTGGAATTCAGACGTGTTGTATCGTGTTGTGATCTTACTAAACATTCCTGCAGATTGTCTGTACGTGTAATGGCTGCTTACAAAAATGAGAAATACGCCGACATTATGTATTGTTACGGGTTTTGTAATGGTGATTCTGCTGCAGCACGAAGGGATTACCAATGGCGTTTCTCTACCGGCGTTTACCTGATATAAGCGTGTTTGATAGTACTTACCGACGCATTCGAGAATCTGGCTCGGTTCATCGACAACAAATAGACGCTAGCAGACCTTCCATCCATAATGCTGACGAAGAAGAAATTTTAGAGTGTTTTCGAGCAGACCCCACTGTGTCAACTAGACAAGTGGCACGGCAACTTGGTATATCCCAATGGAAATCCCGGTTTAATGCTCATACAGCGCAAGTTTATCCATACCATTATACTCCAGTGCACGCTATGGAGGAGGGCAGCCCTGCACGAAGGATTGACTTTTGTAGATTCTTAATTCATGCCGATATTGAAAGCCCAGACTACCTCAAAAATATCCTTTGGACTGATGAATCGAAATTCGATCGTGATGGTATTACAAATCACCACAATGCCCACTATTGGGCCCCTAAACGTCAAAATCCAAAACAATTCAAGGAAGGCAAGCACCAGAGAAGATTCTCGTTAAACATTTGGATGGGAATTATACATAAAAATTGGTTGGACCTTTTTTCTTGCCCGACAATTTAAATCGCGCCACTTATGAAAACTTTTTAAGAAATGAAGTAGATGTTCCGCTATATAGGAGAATCAATATGATATACCAGAATGATGGCTGCCCAGCCTATTATTTTCGAGGTGTACGACAATGGCTGGATGAAAACTATCCGCAGAGATGGATCGGTCGAGGAGGCCCAACGCCGTAGCCGGCGAGAAGTCCGGACTTGACGCCTTGCGATTTTTACATTTGGGGTCACATGAAGCAATTAGTGTACAATACATCCGTTGTAGATATCGAAGATTTGAGGCAGACGATTTTGGCAGCCACCGACGAGATGAAACGCAACAAAAATGACAGTGACCCTACTACGTCGTAGGCTACATGCTTGCATACGTAACAATGGCAGGCAATTTGAACAAGATTTATAGCTTTTAAGTACCAACGTTGTGTTTGTTTCGTTAATTCTTTATAAGGTACATGTTTATCGTTAATTAATTAGATTTCAAACTTTACCGAGCTCATTTAATTTAAAAATTTAGTTGTATCTACAGTACCATTTGTACGGTTTTTTAGGTTATGCCTGAAAAAGGTAATTTGTACTGTCTTTAAAAGCTCATGAAATTCTGTAATTATTTTCGTAATTTGTACGCCGACTGTCATACATTTTATTTCAAATAACTCATGTTGATTTTCGGAAATAATAAACAAAAATGAAAATCTCTTCATTAACAGCCTTTTATTTCTAACAGTTTCAAACTTTTGGTATAGCATTTATATCTCAATTATTTGCTAGTTTCACAGCTCTCAGAAAACCGTCAATTCAGTTCCGAGAAATGAGTAGATTTAAAAAACCTGTATTGATCAGTAAGCAGAAAATTCTTAAAAAATCTTGAAAACCGCTCATTTCCGACCCCGAGTTGGTGGGAATTAATTTATCACAATTAACCTCTAGAATCACCGCTTTCAAGGAATAGGTCGAATTTTCAATCTCCCTGTATATATCTGATATAATAATATACGCTAAATACACATTATGTATAACATATTTTCATGAAAACTAAACGTTTGAATAAACACATAAATAAACCTTTTCAGTGGTACCTGAAAATTGCGTAGCAAATGATACATAGCTTGAGCTGGAATACTGAGACCAGAAACGCAAAATATCCGATACCCAAATGGTTGAAAATCAATGTTTTGGTTAAATCTCTTTATTCAGTTTTCATCCATAAATTATAATTTAAGTCTAAGCCTCTTTACTTGCGAAAAAAGTTCAAATATATGCATTCTAGATCACTTAGAGATAAAATTATCAGGATACGCCAGTATTCAATTACCCTATTTCAACGCAGTAACTCCTATAATGTTGCAACCATATAAGTATACTTATTTACCGAAATCAAATGCGCAATACTCATTACCAGCTTTTCGACAAAAAGTGAAATCATCATTGCTTGCTTTTTTATTTTTCCAATAATACATATTACTTTCTATTTATTTGGTGTACTTTGCTTGGAAATTGTGCTAGTTTTCGCTTTATTGTAATTATTCGTAGCTAAAAATTTAAATTTGTTGTGAATAATAGTCCATTATCATTAACATCTGCTGGTAACTCTTATGGTTAAATGAAAGCGTAGCAAACGCTAAATTCGAGTCTTACCTTAGCTGCACAACAATCTTGTTGTAAAGAAATGAAAACGTCTATTAAAATTATTATTTATTTGCTCAATTAGTGTCGGCAGATACCCTTTTGCCAGTGGTTCCAGTATTAACCCTTCTTTTATTTCTAATTTTTGTCATTTCTTTACAATAAAAAATATTATAAACCATAAAAATAACGGCTGAAACCCATAGCTTATATGTCACCCCCCTGGTTCATCTAAAAGCTGTCATATATACTGAGTGATAAAAAAAGGTAAAAACCTACGTATGCTTATTAGAACTCAAGAATTTTTTACATATCGGTTTATCTTGCCATAAACAAGAGATAAAATGGTCAGGTTTTTCTGTTAAGTGCTTGTGGTGGCTGCGTGTCACGTTCACCACACCGTGGGAGTTATGGTATGAGGTGCTATTGCTTTTGGTTGCAGGTCACCACTGATTTTCATCAGAGGCAATATAACAGCCCGGCGCTATATTCAGGTAGTAGTAGCCACCACGATCGCGTGACCTATCTCCAATTGAGCATGTCTGGGACATGATAGGTCGCAGGCTCTTGAATTTGCGACACCCTCCACAGACTTTAGCAGCTCTTACTCACGAAGTTGCAGTAGCCTGGAATGTGATACTCCAACAGGATATCGACCACCCTATCAGCAAGATACCCAGGCGTGTAAATGAGTATATAAGAAATAGTGGATCCTCAACACATTATTGAACCAGCTTCTGTAGTCAGTTGACGATTCAAACTGAAAATTTAATCGGTTTACTAGTAAGAGACACTGAACATGAATACCAAAAATTATTAAAATCGGATAAACAAACGTAGCTGTCTACATTTGTTTTAACTCTGTATACGTATAACATATGTCTTGTGACACAATGATTATGAAAACAAAATACGCTATTTTTTAGTTGATAATGAAAACCTCAACACCGTACATTATAATCACCCATATAAGAAACTGCTTAAAATATCAGTTGACTGATAATTATTTATTGAACGGTACCACAAGTTTGCAAAGTTCCGTAAACTCCTTGAACTTAGCGTCCGGTTATCTCATTAATATTCTATTAGTTATAATGCTGTTTGATTTAGTTTGGGAATATAGTTTTCAGAAACTATGCTCATACTAATGGAGAGGAAACTCAAGAGTTTTGTCACAACCGTTTTAAGATCTCCAAGACATTTCGTGACTTGAGCCATCCTACCTCTTGAACATCGTCATTATTTAAAATGTATTATTACTCCAAAATATCCTATCCTAAATTATATTTAAAAATGAAATGTCATATACATATTATAACCGGTGTTTCATGTAGAGCAGGAGTTCCCAACCAGGGGGGCGCGCCTCCCAAGGGAGAGATGTTAAGGCGTGCGGAAAGCGTTTGCATTTTAGGAATAAAAAACAAAAAAAATTAATCAAATAACAGTGCAATGTAATGTTTAATTTACACGCATAAAATTAGAAATTAAGTATCATATTCACTTATTCTGTCAACCGCTGTTTCAAAACCCGGCGTCGTCAATCTCAGTTTATACAAGTTTCGACAAGTCACAACATGAAATCCGCGCGCATCCCCGCCGCGGTCCGCTCAACATTCATCACTTAGAAAACAATTGTGTACCTACCAGACGCGGATGAGCATCTGTGACATTCATTCCCACAAACTTGCGAAAAATCTGATGTTTTGATGTACATGTTTTGTTGAGGAATCTGTTTGAGTGTGTCAAATTATTGTGTCTCGCTGTTAAAAGGTAAGTTTGTGTATTTACAAACATCAGTTACCATTTTTATTTAATTTACTAAAGTGTTGATTGAGTGGAGTCGCGTAGATCGGCCATTGGGACTTTTTTTACCACATCACAATCAAACCAAGATGGTGAAATAATTTTGAAACGAACAACGTTAAGTACCTAATATTGGTATTTAAAATTACTATTATAATGTCAACCTGCTACAAAAATATAAATCTCCCGGTGGCCAATATACTGTTGAATACATTCCGTTATTGCGATAAAATAATGGGCATATAATTAGTAATTACATGTAGGTATTTTGCTTATTTATTTATTACTTATTTGTTTTATTGTGATAAGTGCAAAATGGGAGCGAAAAAAAGAAAGTTGTCCGAAGATTACGTTAAGTTTGGATTTACTTTCATAGAAAAAGACGAGTTACAATTGCCTCAGTGTGAGATATGTATGAAAGTTTTAAGTAATGATAGTATGAGGCCCAATTGCCTTGAAAGGCATTTGAAGCAACAACAACTCTGGTTTGAAGACGAAAGAATTTTTTCTTCTAAAGCAGAATCACTCAAGCGGATGAGACTGGATAAATCGAGAAGTTATCATATAGGTGTATCGCAGCAACTCAAAGCTTCATTTGAAATAGCTTTTATGATATCAAAGCAAAGAAACCTCGTACTATCGGTGAAGAATTAATAAAACCATGTGTCCTAAAAGCTACGCAGATAATTCTAGGAGAAGGTACAGAGCAAAAAATAAAGTCTATTTCTTTTTCAAATAAGACAGCCAAGCGTAGAATCGATGACATTGCAGCACACATAAGGTCACAAATAATTAACAAAGTAAAATTATCGCCATTTCTTGCCATTAGTTGCTATGAATCCACCGACATCGTTAATTGTGCACAGTTAATAGTTTATGTCCGCTACATCGACTGAGATATCATTCAGGAAGAGATTTTGTACGCCCAATCTTTGACAGCAGGTACTACATCTGGAGATGTATTTAATTCAATACCAAATTTCGTTGAAAAAAATTAATTGGATTAGAATAAACTTATTGGATTTTGCACAGATGGCGCACCTGCAATGATAGGTGTACGACCGGCCTTAGATAAAAATCTCAAGGAAAAAAGTCCCACAATGGTTAGTGCACATTGTGTTAGTCATCGGCAAGCTTTGACTACCAAAACAAGGCCACAGAAATTACGACAGACTTTGGAGTCGGCTATAAGGATTGTAAACTACATCAAGAGCAGCGCTTTGAACAGTCGGTTATTTACTTTACTTTGCGAGGATCTCGATTCTGATCACAAAGTTCTTCTGTAACATACAGAAGTACATTGGCTGTACAAAGGCAACATGTTGGCTCGCCTTTATGAATTGAAAGAAGAGGTAATAATAAATAATAATTATTTTTCTTAAGGTCAAAGAAAAACACGATTTCTTGACAATGTTCAAAGATGACAGATTTCAATGGAGGTTCTCTTATTTAACTGAAATATTTGACTCCTTTAATGAGCTAAACTTGAAACTTCAGGGCAGAAACAACACTATAATAAGCAATTATGATTACATTCAGGGGTTCATATCAAAGCTTCAACTTAGGAAGTGTCTTCTGAAAATGTTATATCTTTTTCTCGGATGTTCGTAGCAATTAAAAATAACATACTGGACGCAAATTTAAAAGCTGACATAAAAACTGATTTGCAAGCCCTGGAAGACGAATTTCGCCGATACTATCGAGATATCAATTCAGAGTCACCAATGTGGCACATGACAAGAAATCCATTTGTTGTCAATGTGTCACAATAACAAGAAGTTCAAGAAGAATTTCTAGAAATGAAGGCTGATTCGTCCATGAAAGATGACTTCCACCTTTTAACATTGGAGGAACTTTGGATCAAAATATTGCCTGTTAATTCGACACTTGCCTCCCTTGCTTTGCTTATGTCAGACAGACTTTTCTGCTCTAGTTTTAATTAAAACTAAACAGCGAAATCGTTTTGATGTCGATCGCGACCAGGAGATAGCTAGCCAAAACAGAACTAGAATCAACCAACTGGTACAGAACATGCAATCTCAAGTGTCTCATTAGTATCTACACTTATTCTACTCAACTTTTTCGATAAAAAACATTTATTAGTTTATCTAAACTTTTAAAGCTTCTTTATTAGAATTAAAATAAAAGACTTTGTACCTATATAATATGCGTTTTTTGTATTTATTGAACAAGTAAAGGGGGCATGAAAATATAATTTATAGTCCGGGGAGCCTCAACAAAAAAAAGGTTGGGAAACTCTGATGTAGAGGTTCTTTTTCAAAAAAAATATAAAAATGTATTTTATCCGGTCTTCTTTACTATTGAAGCGAATCACGTTTTTTTACACAGTTTTTGAAAATCATTTATTTTTAAATCTCTGCCGTTACTTGTGGTCAGTATGGTCTGTTCTGAAATTACAATTTTCGATGACGCGTCTGAGCACTTTTGACTGGTATTTGGCGTCGCGATATGAAAACACAAAATTATTTCTTGAAATCCAAGCCCATGATGCAGGCCTTACAATCTTTATATTTAACGTAGTCTCTTCAGAAAAGGAATTTTGTGGATGCCAAGTTTGTTCGATAAGAGATACAAATCGACCAAACAATTACTTGTGATTATTTTTTATGCTTTCGAAAAAGTATTTCCAAATAATCACCCATCAGTTATAGCAAAATAACATTGTTCTTGTATCTATGATTTTTATTGCAGTCTAGAGTAATGAAACTCATACCGGTCGATGCTTTTCGACCCTGCGTTTGGTTTTTGCACAATAATACGATTCTACGGATACATTTACTTCAGAATGACTGGAAGCTAACTGACATAGATCTTGCAGGGAACACTTTTTGATAGATATTGGAATCTCTGCAAAAGTATTGCACTGAAAACAGTATCTTCCTGAATTTAACAAAATGTCATTACATGAGGCTTACTAGAAACATAGCGAACACTATAGATTTCAGACATAAGATAGGGACGGCAGAACTGGAAAAGCTTCATGTAGTAAAAGACCTAGCGGTGATGAGAAACTCTCATTCATCAGTCACGTAGAGCACATCGTAAATAATGCAAATAGAACACTAGGGTTCATAAACAGGACATGCAGAAAATTTACGAACCCAAAAACGCTTCTTTCATTGTACTACGCTTATACAGGGTGACTTTGAAGTTGAGTCATTAATTTTCAGATAATGATTGTAGAAGGAAGATAAACCAAAATATGTGTGTAAAAATAAAAAAAAAATAAAAAAAATTTTTACCTTGTTTTATAAAGTATCCTCCCGACAAGTATTTCAGTGCGGACCTGTATTTGATCGTGAGGTCCCCTGTGAGGTCTGAAGTCACCTGATTCACGAGCCCGTTGTACTACATTAACAAAGGCACGAGGGGTTGGTTGCACTCGATTGGGAAACCGATCCGCATAAACATGTGCCATTTTTTATTTCGTTTGAGCCACGCAACAGACACTATTCACACGCGACTGTATGTATAACTGAACTGAATAAAATAAACATCGTTCCAAATTCTTTCGCTTTTTGTTTCCGATGCGATGAACCGATAAGGTGGATTATATCCGTTGTTGCCAAACACGAGTACATGATATTATTGAGACAGGGCGGTACTCAAACTTCCAAAGGGCTATAACTTTGTTACTTTAATTTTACCAGAAAAATGGTAAAGGAAAAAAACATTTCTTTTGATCAGATCTACTCACTGTTAAAATAAATGACTCAACTTCGAAGTCACCCTGTATACTCAGCAAATTGATGTTTGCATCAGTAATATGGAATCCGTCTTACAATGTACATATAGCCAGGATAGAAAGAATTCAACACAAATTTTTGAAGATGTTAGCACATAAAACTCACCAACCTGTTACAGATCATCATTATACGCAAATTAAGAAACAGTTCAATGTGATTCCCATAAAAGATAGAAGAACGATTTCTGACATTTGCTGTGTTCATAAATTGTTGAATGGCCTCACTGACTGTCCGGATATTCTGGCAAACTTGAACTTTAACACTCCTGATAGAACGTTTAGAACCTATCATCTGTTTAATTCCCCTTTGGTCAGGGCTCAAAAAAATCATAATAATTTATGTAATATAGATTTATTTAACATTAGCTTGATCTTCCTGAAAAAGGCTTTGAAGTATGAGTATTACAGCTCTATGGCAGACTAAAATAGAAATGTTTTATTTTTTACATAACTCAAGTTATCACCTCCAATATCATTTCTGGTTTAATTTCAATTTAGTTTTGATTTCAGTTTTAATTAAACGTAAGTAAGTATTAAATTATGTATACTCCTTTTATTAAAAAAGTTAAATTAATAGTTTATTGCTTATAATTAGAACTACTCACTCGGTTTATGTTGTTACAACAATATTGGAAGATAAAAAAAATATTAATATTAAAGTATTCAATAATGTAATCTATGTATATGTATACGATATTTTATGTAAGTTTAGTTTTAGTTCACTGAGGGTGTGTGTTGGGTTTACCTGTTAACACCCCAAACTGTATATAAATAAATAAAATAAAATCAGTAGATATTAAGATGCCCGTCCCCAAATTTGTTGTAATACGTAATAATGTTCTTTCTGAAAAAATACATTTTTTTTGTTGCACCCTATAATCCAAGACGTTGACTAGAATGTGCGAAGGTATCTGAAAATAGAGGACCTCATTAAAAATGGAAATAATGAGGTGTCAGGTTAGGTGAAGGAAATACATGAATGGATGTGCTTCACGCTACACCGCTGCCATATCTTTGTGCCTTATCTTGTATCCGAATATCAAGCACGGCGGTAGATACAGGGATAATAAGAGGTCTTCGTCCTTTTTTCATATTTTCAATTGAGTGGGTTATGATTTCATGCAGTAGTATGCAGAAATGTAGCTGGTCATGAAAGTATCTTCGCGTCCATCCGGAAAACTATTCAGATCCATTTTTTACATAATCTTATTAAAAAATAATGGCCTTCGAGCAAGTTTACATGTTGCCATGTCCAAAATTGTGTCAAAAACTAGTTAAGCCACGTTTTTGAACAAACTACAAATTGGGCTTTTCTAGTCATTCTGAACAAAAGGCTGGCGGTTATCACTATGTTGCATCTCTCTCGTGCTCACGCAGAGTGTTCATTGAGCGCACGCTTCAACAACAATTAAAGGACAAAGGTTTATAGCAGTGGTCGCCAACCCGTCGATGGCGAGCTACCGGTAGCTCGCAAAGGCAATTCTGGTGGCTAACAACATATTTTAAAAAGGTGTAAAAATTCTAGAAGCTTCCGTAAATTTCGTAAATTCTCAAAATAAACACAATCAGTGGCAACACTGCGGTGAGCGATCTGTTCGAGAACGATCTCGATTATCTTGAACGTAATAAATACGTAAGGCGCGGCGAAAGTGCGCTAAGATTAAAACACAAAGTCCAGCGGTTGGGTTAGAGTTGGCCTGCTATTGAAAACATTATGAGCATTAGTAAGAAGATGAAGACATACCATTTTCATTCGGAATGGGAAGAACAATATTTCTTTAGAGAAGTTGAAGTTAAAAATGTATGTTTGTTATGTAATACATCTGTTTCCATTGCTAAAAAGGGACTATCGAGAGGCACAATCAAACTGTACATTAGAATTTTGAAAAATCATTCCCATTACGGTCTGTAACCAGAACGTTAAAACAGAAACATTTAAAAAATCAGTTAATCAGACAACAGACAATTTTAAAAACAATCGACAAAAGTAAGGCTGCAACTGAAGCATCATACCGGGTGTCCCAGATAATTATACAAGATAAGAAACCTTACGAAGACGGGGAAATGATAAAACATGCGTTTTCAGGAGCTGCAGATTCGTTATTTGACAACTTTAGAAATAAAGACGAG